GACAAAGATGAAGAAAGGGAGCAAGAGGAGAAACCCTTGTTGAAGAAGAAGAGGAAGAGGGAGGAACTCTTAATCGGAGAGAGACCCTAGGGAAAAACTTGTTGCTGTCGCCCCCAACCCTTAGAGCACGAGAGAAAAAAAGATCCTTTTTCTATTATGTAAGTAAATTTTTAGATTAATTAAATATAATTAATTTGTTAATTATGTAAAATTTAATATTATTAAATATTATTAATAAATAACAAATTTTAATTAAAGTATTATAAATATTATATTAATTTAAAACTTAACATAGATAGTTTATATAAATAAAAAATTTAATCTAACAATTAATTTTTGAAGATATGAATTACAAGATTAATTTTTTAACTAGATCTAAAAAAAAGAAAAGAAATGGAAAGACGACATGAATTACACTAAGCACTTAAATTTAAGCCGTTCTTTAATAAGAATGAACATCACTCACGCTCCAGTCGAAGTTCCCGGTTGTTTCCCAATCCTATCTCCAAGGCCACTAAGACCTCTATACATACACTTACAGCCTCTGTCTCACACTCTCATGTGCAAAACAGAGAGGAACATAAGAACACCAATGTCTTCTTTTTTGAGCAAACTGCCTTCTATGTCCACCCTTCTTTCCGCCTACGCTTCCCTTTCCACCCCCATCATGCTAATCCGGCCGCTCAATCTTGTCTGAGATAGTTCCCAAACCGATACAAGAACTAATTTCTTCAAAGCTCTACGAAACACTACCCCGCTACTTCTTCCCCAACTTCACCTTTATCGCTCCGGAGCATTGGCAATCAGTGAACAACGAACGATTTCGTGCTGTGGAGGCGTATTTGCCAACCAGAATCGGCCCCTCTGCTACTAGTCTCGAAATCGGGTCCAATCCATTCGACCCTCACAAGCTCGAGCTGAGATTTCCTGTTGACTGCAAGATAATTGATGAATTCCAGGGTATGAAATTGGAATGGTCTCTGCTAATAAAAGACGAAAAGTTCTTCCATTAGGAGAAGAGGTACTTCAGGTTGAAGTGCAAGAGAAGTGACCGAGAAGAAGTCATGGCGAGATACTTCCCTCACATCGACACCACGGCGCAAACCATCCTGAACCAGCGTGAAAAGCTCCACATCTATACCTATAACAAAGAAAACGGTAGATGGAAATCCGCAGTTTTCAAGCACCCTGCAAGATTCGACACTCTGGCTATGGAGCCAAAGCTCAAGGAGGATGTAATCAATGACCTTGATGCCTTTCGCGGACGAAAGGACTTCTTCCAGAAAGCAGGAAGAGCCTGGAAACGTGGATACCTATTACATGGTCGGCCGGGAACTGGAAAATCCTCCTTGGTTGCAGCCATTGCGAATCACTTGAGATATAATATATACGATCTTCCGCTTCAAAGTGTTCGAAGTGATGCCGAATTGAGACGTATCCTTACCTTCACCACAAGCCGATCAATTTTACTTGTTGAGGACATAGATTCTAGTACCAAAGCTTCCCGAGATCGGTCCACGATTAAAGATGAACAAGGAGAGCATGGAGAAGAAAAGCTTTCTTCTTCTAATCCAGGGGTAACAGGTTTTTTCATTTTTTAGAACAAAGACAAGCTTTCTCGAATCTGAGTAACTTATTTAGTTTGAGAGAAACAAAAGGGAGAGGTCATCAACTATTAATTTAAGGTTTTTTTTTTTGAATTTCAGGTAACACTATCTGGGTTGCTAAATTTCATTGATGGGTTGTGGTCGAGCTGCGGAGACGACAGGGTCATCATCTTTACGATGAATCACAAGGACAAGTTGGACCCAGCTCTGTTATGACCTGGACGCATGGATTTTGAGGTCTATTGGGTTATTGCGCCCCAGCAGCATTCAGACAGCTTGCAGACACCTACCTGCAAATCGAGGATCACCTTCTCTTTACCGCCATTGAAGATCTTCTTAAACATGTAAAAGTTACTTCGGCCGAAGATGCGCAGCAGCTCATGATCAAAAGTGAGGAGCCTCAAATCATATTGGAGAGTTCCACTGAATTCCTTAAAATGGAAAGGAATAAGATTGAAGAAGGAAACTAAAGCAAAGCAGTTTTAATTGTATATAAGAAAACTGACTACATATTTTATAACTATTAAAGCAAAGGAGTAGGTTTAATTGTATATATTAAATGGTTTTTTTTTTATCAATAATTATAAAATATATGTTATTTATATATATAATGCAAACTAAAAAACAACTATCTTAATGCATATAATTGAACTACTAAAAACAGTATTTTTCGAACTAAAAAGAAGAAAGGATCTGCAACGTTAAGTAAGGAGGGGAAGTTATAGATGGACAGAATTGGCGATTAGTAGAGGAAGAAAAGTAATAGTGCGTTTGGTTTATAAGAAATGAAGGGAAGGAAAGGAAAGAGAAAGATTTCTTTATCTTGTTAAAACAAATTGGAGAGTAAGAGAGATAAGAAAATGGAAGGATATGACATTATTTTATTCACTTTCCCTTTTTTTTTATTTTTTATTTTTTTAAATGAAATATATTATTTTTTTTATTTATGATTAAAATAATTTTAGACTAGATTAATTCTTTTCGAACGAAAGCAAATTTTCACTTTGGTCCTTCCAAGGCAGATATAGAAATGGAATAGAAATGGAAAGGGAAGGCTTCTAGGTAATTTAGATCCAACTTCCGGTAGGAATTTTTTTTTTTTTTTGACAAAAATAATAGTTAGTAGGTTAGTTTTATTAGTTGTTAGTAACTGGGGATTTGATTTCCAGATCTGGTGAACACCTTACCTCCCTCAATGAGACACGTAATCCACCGAACCGCTTGGTGGAGTTCTCCAAGGTAGGATATTAATTGATTAAATCAAAGGGTTGAAAAAAAAAGTTGATAAAATTAATAAAAAAAATAATTAACGGTGTTATGTACGCGTTTGGTTTGCAAGGAATACAGGAGGAAATTTTAGAGAAGTCGTGAGACTATGCATAATCAGTTTGGTTGATATGGTTGATTATATAATTATGTTCATAAATAGTCAATTATTTGAGTTTTTGTTAATATAATCAATTATATTCAGAATGTAATTAATTATATACTCAAAAGTTTTTCTTTTAGGTCTTTCATTAGAAAGCACTTTCAAAATAAATAATCAATTATATATATATATCTATAATTGATTATATCCCATGGCCTTAAAATGTTTTCTTTCTTACATGAATTACTGTTTTAAAAATAAATATTATAAATAATAATAATTATTTATTTTCAAATATCATTTATCAACTATTATTATTGTATTTTTTTATCATTAATTATGCATTAATTTACATAAAAAATAAAAAAATCGACATCAATTTTAATATTTATAACACATAAATATTTTTATTAAACAATTAATAAAATTAATCTTAGTTTTTAATTTTATTATATATATTAATAATACAAAAATAATAAATATATTTTATTTTGTATTCTTAGAACACAAAATAAAAAAAGCTTTCAAAACAATTCACGTACTCAGGGCTCATGGCTCCATCGCTTTGGAGAAAACTTCCTCCGGGTTCGACGCCCACGAATGGGGAAAGTGACGGCTGGAATGTGGTGGAATCCCAAAACACAATCTGAAACATTAAAAAAAAAAAAAAAAAGAAACTAAAAATGGGCTGGTCTGTTTTGTCAGTTGTGCTGGGCCTATTGACACGAATTTCCTGAGAGTCATGGCCAATAACATCCTTTGCGAAATATGGATCTTTATCCGTTTTCATATCAGGGAGACGGAGACCTCACAGAAGTGGGATGAGGGATCCATAACTGCCCCAACAAGAGGCCCAAACTTGCTGCCTAGCTTTGGGCCAAGCCCACAATTCTCACTTTACATAGCCACAGTTCACACGAATATAGATGATGATCTCAATTTAGGGCTGAGCATTGGATCTGAGTATATCTATTATATATGGCTACTTGATTTGTTTCGATAGATATTTTATCTACATTTAAAAAGAGACGGTTAAATATTAAGTATAGGAAATATATATTTCTCAAGTATTAGGTCAAGTATTGACGAGTATAAGGATACATATTTGCATACCTGACATATATATATGATCTATACTTATAAATATGAGTGTGTGTATGTTTAAAGCATAACTTCATCATTAGTAATGCTTTTGAAAAGTTTATGAATCCACTTAATACATTAGTAATTATTTTTATTGTGCCTACTTATAGAAAAAAGTTCTGCTTCTATTTTCCAAGAGTAAAGAGATTTAATTGAATCTTGATTGTAGAGACAATTAGTGATATGTGAGTATACTTTTAAATCTCAAACTAAAGTACTTCATTAATTATGTAAAAATATCATTATAATTTATACAGAAGTGGCTTAAATACATTAGAATTTTGTAATATATTGATTATATTCTAGTTCTATACTTAGTTTTTCAATATAATGTCATTATACTAGAATATTTATGTTTTTCTTCCTTGGAAGATTCTAAAAAAGGAAGATCCTATGAAGTTGTGTTTATATCTATAAACTTATATGTGTGTAAGTTTATGTATTTGTATATTTTGTTATATGTATGAATTTGTGTTTATGTTTTAACTTTTAAATTTTATCATAAGTATGAACTCATATATTTCTTTATGTATATGTATTATGTATATATAAATGAAAGTATTTGTTTTAAATATGTTTAATTATGTTTTAATGTGTATTAAATATTATAATATTCAATAAGTATATAGATATACCTACATGTATATTTGTACTTAACGAGTTGAGTAATAAATATAAATTTTCAATTCCTAAATAAATTATGGGTATTAAAACCATATATTTATCACTATTCAAGTGAAGTATAGGCATGCATATAAGCAAATACTTGATCCTCATCTGTCCCTATATATTCACACTTAATTTGAACTTTCCACATTTAAAACCAAAATCAAGTTTGTGATTTTGTACCAGGACAAGAGGCCCAATTTTTTCAGTCTCTCAACCTTGCGATTTTATACCAAATTTATCCCTTCTTTTTTTAGCAGCTCTTTAGTCCCCAACTCGTAATTTCGTTATCTTTGAAGGCAAGGACACATGGCATGTTATAAACTACCTTAAATGTTAGTTTTTTACTACCTTAGTCTAACTTCAATTGTCCTAATTTCTAGTTTAAAACATTCAAATTTAGTTATCTGTTATTCTATTTGAAGATGTTATTTAATGTGTTTATTTTTATTTTACCCTTACTTTAAGTAGATAAATACAACACATTATAATAAGTATGTTTATTCATGTTGTGGTTAATTAGAGATAAATATGAAATTTTATCAATTAGTTATTATACATCTCTATTTTATTGGACAAACAAACTAAGACAACTAAAGTTGAAGGGAGGGAATAAAAGAAAATTACATGATAATTTTGAAATAATTCTTTTTGTTAATGTTGACAATTATTCTTATTGGCCGGTTATACTATTGATATGGTACGGCGATTGCATGAAATATCTTGTCCTTTTTCATAACCCCTAGACATGTAAGATTTTATTATCATATAAGTTAGATCTTATGTTTCTGTTTTTCCTTTAACTTTCTATACTTTTAAGGAGAAAACAAAAAAGAGATAATAGAATATTTCCTTACCTAATTTGTATAAATGAACTTTATAAATTTGTAGTTTTAAAGATTTGAGATATTTATGGTATCATTTTTTACATACAAAGAAACACAACAGCACCAACTTTCGAAAGAATTCATTCAAATTTGTCTTCTTAGGCGCACTCTTGATGTTTTCACTTATAACCAACTTCTTTTTAAAGAAAGGGAAAAAAAAAAAAAAAAAAAAACAAAAGTTGCTTATCAAGTAAAAACGTCGAGAGTGTATGTAAGAAAACCAGCTGGAATGAATTCTTTTGAAAATTGGTTTTGTTGTATTTCTTTATTATTATTATTATTATTAAAATTAAAAAAGCAACTTCTTTTTCACTATGCATTTTTTCTTTCAACCCAATTTGTTTAAATATTATGATATTTATGAGTTTCTATTAATAGAATATTATTATAGGTCTTCACACTGTACGAAAGCAAGAAATATGTGCATCTAATGCCATAAAGAAATTAAGAAGCCCATGTGGCCCAAAAGGTTACTTAATCATTAGTTAAGGGGCATCTTACTTTGGGTGTGGGGTTCAATTTTCAGTTTTTCACCCCTTCCGTATTCTCTTGTTGTGACTGTAGTCGTTGTTGTCTAAAAAGGCAGTCGGTGGATTGCACCCTTGTCCAGGTTTAATACTTCTTATTAACAATTTTAATTTTACTAACTTCTAACAATTATCTTTGTTAAAAAAAAAAATGCTATAAAGAAATTAATTGCTATAGTTCGAAATGCAAATTCCATACTACAAATCCAGGTCAAAGTCTATGTGTTTGTGGTTTAACTAGATTATTTTAATAGATAGTGATTAGTATACACTCCGATTTAACTAATTGCATAACACACTAATTATTTTTTAATATGAAATTAAAAACAGGTTAATTTAAAAATACTATTATGCACACAAAATATAAAAATCGATTGTATTTATATTACATTTTTAATAATTAAATAAAAAAAATATATAAAAAAATGTGTTGCATCAACAATGTACAAATCATTTTCTTATTTTAATAACTTTATCCAAGTGTCCAGTAGGTGCGAAAAGAAGCACCATGAAAGAGGGGAATTTATTAGATTTATATTGATGAATAAACCATGTATGTGTAAAATAAAAAGGTTGACCAATAATTAATACTCACTTTAGTTTTAAGATTGTTCAAATTTCTTATCAATAATAAAGGTTTTTATCTTTTTTCTAATACCATTTTTCTCTTAGCACATTAAACGGTATCGGGTTAGATCAAGTTAACTGAGTTGACTGCCTTTTTGCCACTCTTACCTACCATCCTCATATGTAGATAATTTTTTTATTTTTTATTTTTAAGGCATCAGTAGGGATCCACTCCTAAACACACCAACAATGGTGGTCTCGCCTTGAGTCTCCGTTTTTGAACAGAGACTCCCTCCATTGTGGAGAGTTTCTGTTTTTAAGATAAAGAGGGATAGTCCATTTTCATAGGTACAGTCCTTACTTTTTGTTGTTGTTTTTGCTTCTTTTTTTTTTCCTTCAATTTTAAAAATATTTTTTTAATAATTAAGATTGATTATTTTTTTCTTTTTATTAATGCAACTTTTGAGAAGTCTCTCTTAATCCTATGCAGTATTAAAGAAAAATCTCTTAATGAGTCAAATTAAATAAAGTAAATTTTAATAATGTGAGGTGAAGTCCCATCATGGATGTTTTTGCTTCTTTGTAAATTTTAAAAATCTCTTGATGCATCTTTATGCATATATAATTCTCGATCAAGATCAATCAAGTCGAACTGTTTACTCTACTCCACTCATATTAAATTTTGAATTAGAATAATTTATTTTTTATGGGTTACGTATTTAAGTTTTATAAATTTTTTTTTATTTTTTAAATTAATATGTAAATAATTATAATTTATTTAAAAAAAAATAAAGATCAATCAAGTTGAATTTTAATAATACTAAGCATCTAATTTCTGTTAATATATAAGAACGGAAATTGAACCCAATCACCAAATGCAAAATCCAAAGCCTCTTTTTTTCCTTGAACCACACAAAAGATTTGACTTGTGTGAGGTCTAGAATTCTACCCTCCTCCCAGTGATCTCCTCTAAATGTAATTCCCTTTCTCCCCAACCACATAGAACAAAAAAACCACACAGAATATCAAAGCTCCCACCTTGAAATTGAACTTACAGAGCAAGCCACATATAAACTGTGCATACAAATGGCTGGAACAGAGTCAGGGCAAACAAAACACACATTCCACCACTGGCCGCATCTCATTCATAATTTTCTAGCAAAATCGCACAACATGATTCACATTTCCCTCTTTAACACCACACAAGAGGCAAAGCAAGCTTCCCTTCGTAGCAACCAAACTTCTTTGCAATAAGTTGTCTTTTGTTTGGACTCTATCAAACAAGGCTTTCCAAATCAGAAAACTGACTTTCGAGGGGACAGAGCAACTCTATATTACCTATCAAGCAATAAGTTGTCTTTTGTTTGGACACTATAAAGCAAGACTCTCCAAATCAGTAAACTGACTTTCGTGGGGACAAAGCAACTTCAAATTACCTGTCAAGCAATAACTTGTCTTTTTTGTTTGGACTCTATCAAGCAAGACACTCCAAATGAGAAAGCTAACGTTTGAGGAATCAAAATGGTGGGTTAAAAAGTAAGATAACCAACAGAAACAAAAAGAAAGTAGGCATCATCACCAATAAACAAATCTTCTGTAGTGGTGGTAGTTCGAGGTCATGTCCCTTGTTGTAGTCCGAAGTCAAGTACCTCGGATGACCTGATCTACTCCCAACAATCTAGTCACCTCGATGTTAGGGAACAGCGAGCTCAATTGAGTTCGAGCTCATCCTCCTTGCTCCTATTCTATAGTAACTCCATACATGCACAAACCTTTTAGGAGAGTTTCATGCCATCATTGACACATAATCCTGATTGCCCATGAAGAACAACACGTGGATGCCCCTTTGAAGGCTATAAATACTCCCCAAAGGTCACCCTTAAAAGGTAATTGAGACCAAACTCAAGCTCAGCTCTTGATTCATACATGGTAGCTCTGATTATTGTTGACTTAAGTATAGGAGTGTTTATCCTGAGACTCACCTTGGGGCTTTGCAAGTCGATCGAAGTGAAGATCCGAGCTCAAGAGTACTTTGGAGTTCTTTTGCAACTACATTGGCATTGTCTGTGGGAAATCGAGCTAAAAGCCTTGCTAGTACGATGGTTAACCCGCATTCAACGCAACATGGAAGCCCTTAACAAGGTTGAGGAAGAGGTCAATTCCTAAGTGGAAATCCTACCTTTCACACCGTGCCACCTCCTATAGTCCAACATCAGCATGTGGAAAGAACCGAGGAGAATAACCCACACCCAACAGAGATCTCGAATGATCCCATAGCCACCTAGCTCAACGCTATGCAACAACAATTCAGTGTGTTTCAACTTGTGCTTACATAGATGTTAGCCAAAGACAACCCAGGTGACCCCCTCATCACCTTATTAAATCCAACTAACCAAGCACCAATTACCAACCTCAACAAAATGTCAATTCACCAGCCCAAACTGTCATCCCACCTCAAAGTGAATCCCAAGGCCACTCCCACATGGAACCTTCACCTCCACAACCACCCCAACCGGTTGCCTCAGATGTTTCCAAGAGGCTAAACAACCTAGAAAGAATGGTGGCCGAGAACTGAAATCCCTAACCTCCGGCACAGCCCAGTTCTACCCCAGTCCCTACCCCCCTTAATACCAACATCATTCAAGAAGCATACCCATCTGGATTCAAAATGCCCCAATTCGAGACGTATGATGGCATTAAGGACCTCGATGATCACTTGCATGCATTCTGCTCTGTTATGCAAGCTTAGAATGCCTCAGATGCCTTTATGTGCAAAATATTCCCCTTTACATTGCGTGGAAATGCTCAGACTTGGTACTATAGTCTGCAGCCGAAATCGATCAGTTTATATGCCAAGTTGGTGGCATCTTTTGTAACAAAGTTCTCAAGTTGATGACTGATCAGAAAGATGACCTCCGAGCTCACGCGGGTAGTCTAGAGGGAAGGTGAATATCTGAAGAACTACATGAATCGATTCAATGATGCTGTACTGGAGATCGACTCATTTAATCAAGCTGTGGGATTAGTTGCCATAATCCAGGGTCTTAAGCATAAGAGGTACCAAGATAGCCTGATAAAGCACCCCCACCATGTTTGATGAAGCCAATGAAAGATCTTGGAAGTTTATTCAGGCCGGGGAATACGCCTTGTCCAGCAGGCCAACACCGAGTAAAGAGGTCAGACCTCCGATGTGGAGATATGAAGGGCAGAACAAGAAGAGATTCAAAACTACACAGAATCGAGGTCCATTCCCCACAAAAGTTGACAAGCCTAGCCTGAACATTCCACAACCTATGACAAAGTAGATTACTTGGACTCCGTTCACACTACTGAGGTCACAGATCCTGATGTAGATCAAACACAAAATGGCGCTCAGAAGGCTCCCATCTATGCGGAGACTACCTACCTCAAAAGATCACAATAGATATTGCGATTTCCACCAGGATCACGGACACACCATGGGTGAATGTCACAGTTTGAAGTCCGAGCTCGAGGGTTTAACCCAAAAAGGGATGCTGAATGATTACATCTCCAACAAGGACCAGGTCAAATTCGTTCGAGAGTAGGGATGAGCTCAATGATCTTTAGATGTAAGCAACAGAATTGGACTTATCTATCAGCAAGCACCACCTCATCTCCCTCCACCTTCACGCATTATTCACATGATAACTGGTGAGCTAGAAGTTGGAGGGACGAGCTTAAAACAGCAGAAGTTATATGTGAGAGAGGTAAAGCACCAAAATCGAACTTAGAAAAGAAAGTTTGATGAGGCAGATTGGAAGAATCAACCTATAACCTTCAGTTCAGCTGATTTTGATGGTGTCGTCACGCCACACAATGACTCGCTTGTCACCTCGATCATTGTCAATAACTGTGAAGTTCAACGTGTCCTTGTCGACACAGGAATTGCTCCGAACATCATATATTATCACTGCTTTGAGAGCCTTGGCCTTGACCCTACCCTTCTACAAAAGTATGATGGCCCCATCTTATGGATTCAATAATCAGCCAGTCCTTGTGGAAGGAGTCCTGAAACTCAATGTAGCATTCGGCTTAGGTCGGACATATGTCGCTCCCTTAATTTGGTTCTTGGTAGTGAAGATGGCGTCATCTTTCAACGTTGTCATCAAAAGACCAACTCTAACTAAGATCCAAGCTGTTGTCTCATAGTCCCACCTCTGCATGAAATTCCCCACCCCCATGGGAGTAGCGACTATGAAAGGCAACCAAGAGGTGGCCAGGCATTGCTACATGACTTCGGTCACCCGACCTTAGAAGGATAAGCAATTGACTCCAACACCAACTCAGCCTAAATTTCCAACTACACAACAGGTAATGGGTGTAGAACTGCTGGATAACAGACCTGATGATGAGGCCAGAGCCACCCCGATAGAAGAACTGGAAGAGGTAGAGTTGGACGACAATGACCCCATTAAGAAAACGCAGAACGGGACCAAACTGGACTCGAAAGAAAGGGAAGAGCTCATTAACTTGCTGAAGTCAAACAAAGATGTATTTGATTGGACCTCGGCTGATATGCCTGGGATACCTACCTCTGTTATAGTACACAAGCTAAGTATCGATCCTCTGAAGAAACCCGTAGCTAAAAAAAGGTGCCTCTTTGGGGGAGAGAGGTTGCAAGCAATTAGAGAAGAGGTGCAGAAGCTTTTGCAGGCAGGGTTTGTAAGAAAAGTAGACTACTGCGAATGGGTCGCCAACCTTGTTTTAGTTAAGAAGTCAAATGGCAAATGGTGAATGTGCATTGATTATACAAATCTAAATGAAGCATGCCCAAAGGACTACCATCCCTTGCCAAGTATAGACAAGTTGGTAGAGGCCGCATCTGGAAATGAAAGGCTTAGTCTTTTAGATGCTTACTCGGGATATCACCAAGTCCACATAGCACTTGAGGATGAGGTGAAGACCTCCTTCTGTGTTAGTGATGAGATCTACTGTTATGTGATGATGCCGTTTGGACTCAAGAATGCAGGGGCTACATATCAAAAAAAGGTGAAGATTGTATTCCAAGCTCAAATCGACAAGAATTTGGAAGTCTACGTTGATGACATAGTGGTTAAGAGCCTCAAAGCAGAAGATCATTTGACTGACCTAGGAGAGACATTTGATAACTTGAGAAAGCACAGTATGAAGTTGAACTTGGCCAAATGCGTCTTTGAGGTTGAATCTGGTAAATTCTTGGGACTCCTAGTCTCTAAGAGGGGGATGGAGGTCAATCTTGAGAAAATAAAGGCAACAGAAGAGATAAAACCACCAAAGTCAATCAAAGATGTACAACGTTTAACTAGGCGAGTGGCAGCTCTACATCAATTCATTTCAAAAGTAGCTGATAGATGCTTGCCTTTCTTCAAAGTCCTGAGGTCTGCAACACAGAAAGATGAAGCAGGAAAGCCCAAAAAGTTTGAATGCACCTTTGAGCGTCAAACTTCCTTTGACGAGCTCAAAGCATACCTTAGCTCACCACCTCTACTAACTAAGGTTGAAGAGGGTGAGATTCTTTACCTTTACCTCGGGATATCCGACACAACAGTGAGCTCATTTTTGATAAGAGAAATGGGGCAGCTACAGAAGCCAGTTTATTATGCTAGCAAAGTATTACAGGGGGCCGAATTGAGGTACTCCATAGTAGAAAAAGCAGCTCTTGTAGTTGTCACTATAGCTAGGAGGCTGAGGCCATATTTTCAAGCCCACCCTATTTTATCATAACTGACTAACCTCTGAGGCAGATTTTGCAGAAGCTGGAATGTTCAGGTAGACTCATCAAGTGGGCAGTGGAACTAGGGGAATTTCATATTACATTTCAACAGAGGTCATCAATTCGAGCTCAAACTTTAGCTGATTTTGTGGTTGAATGCACTTTTAACCAAGGGAACACCAATTTCGAAGTCGAACTATGGACCCTCTATGTGGATGGGGCATCTAACAGTAAAGGGTCAAGTGTTGGGCCAGTGTTGATTGGACTTGAGAATTTTCAAAGTGAGCATGCTCTAAAGTTCAACTTTGAAGCAACCAACAACATGGCTGAATATGAGGCCTTTCTTCTCGGAGTTTGTTTAGCAGCCGAATTGAAAGTCAGATTTCTGTAGGTATACAGTGACTCTTAACTTATGGTTAACGAGGTAAATTCCATATGTGAGGTCGCAGATCTTGTTCTAGCTAAATACCTGGCTGTAGTTTCTAAGCTGAGGTGCTGATTTGAGAGATTCCAACTCACAAAAGTCCCGAGGTCAGAAAATGAACATGTAAACTCTTTGTCGAAGTTAGCCTCTGATAACTCCAGAGGTGGGAGGTTTGTCTATGTTGAGGTCCTTAACGAACCAAGTGGTCAAAAGTCAAAGGTGATGGAAGTCAGTATTGATCCTGAAACTCCAAGCTAGACAGATCCTATCAAGGCCTATCTCCGAGATGGAATCATCCCGAGTGACAAACAAAAAGAGATGAAGCTATGGAGAAAAGCATCTTGGTACACCTTGCTTGATGGTTTCTTGTACAAGAGGTCATACTCGCTTCCTTTTCTTTGCTGTTTAACCCCCTATGAGGCCGAGTATGCCCTTCGCGAGGTGCATGAGGGTGTATGTGGAAGTCATATCAAAGCTCGGACTTTGGCTCACAAAGTACTCTGTTAGGGATATAATTGGCCCAATATGTAAGAAGATGCTAAGAAATACGTAAAAAAGTGCTAGAAGTGCCAATTCTTTACACACCTTACTCACCAGCCAACAGAAGAACTCACTAACTTGATCACACCATGGCCCTTTGCCCAATGGGGGATGAATCTGCTGGGTCCTTTTGTCAAAGGTGTGGGGGGAGTGACACACTTGGTTGTGACGGTTGATTACTTTACGAAGTGGGTGGAAGGCCGACCTTTATCCAGTTTGACCTCAAAAAAGATCGAAGATTTTGTTTTTAGCTCGGTCATCTGTAGGTATGGGATATCGAATCAGCTTGTCACCGATAACGGGCCTTAGTTTAATTGCACCTCCTTCAGGGACTTCTACTGTAGTTATGGGATCAAATTGGTGTTTACTTCGATTTATCATCTCAAGATGAATGGAATGGTAGAATCTGTCAACAAAGTTATTTTAGAAGGGATTAAGCTGAGATTGGACTAACTCAAAGCCAAATGGGTAAACGAATTCAACAATATTTTGTGGGCTTATCGAACTACCAGTTGGACGGCCATAGGCATGCTAATAGTTATAATTCCCTCATCCGAACTCATAAATAATTATGTTAAATAAACTTATAAACCATAATTTTTTTAATTAATTAGGCGAAACGCCCTATCACTTGGCTTTTGGGACTGAGGCAGTTATTCTTGTTAAAGTCAGTGTCTCGAGTTTGAGAGTTAGCCATTTTGACCTAGCACAAACTAACCTGCTACTCGGGGAAAACATTGATCTCTTGGACAAAGTCCATGAGCAAGCTCAACTTCGAACAATGGCATATAAGCAGAGGATAGCTAGCTTTTACAATAAACGAGTCCGACCTCGAAGTTTCAAGATCTGTGACCTCGTCCTTAAGAAGGCAGGACTCACTGGCTTCAAAACTCGCTTCGGCAAACTAGCATCGAACTGGGAAGGCCTATATGTAATAGCTGAAATGCCCCACCCTAGCACTTATGTACTTCAAGACGCCGAGGGTAAAAGGGTCCCTAGAATATGGAATGTAAACAATTTAAAGAAATTTTACTCTTAATAAAGCCTAGCCTTATCCAGTCATAACCTTACGTTTTCTGAAGTCGAGGTTGGGTATTCACTTCTACCTTGGATTAAATATGAAATAACTTCTACCTTGGATTAAATATGAAATAGGCCAAGTTACACATTTAATATTTTATTTTTGATGTCGAAGTCAGGATCTCACTTCAGTTCTGACCGTGATCTTACCACTAATTTCTAAGGTTAGACATTTACTTGTCTATTGTTTAATATGAGTTTGGTTTAATTTTACTTCTGCTTTACCTAGACATTCGAAGTCATACATTCACACTAAAATCGTAAATAACAATAATTTTTTGAAATTATAATTTCATTTATTCAACAATAAAAATACAATGTTCTTAAAATACATCAAAATTTAGAAGGGTTGGCCGAAATCAGTCGATCACTAGATGCTGTTAATCCATCTCTTGCTCAGCAACATTCTCTCTGACCTTGACATTCGCAAGAACCTCGGCCTGATCTTCGTCAACGACGACGAACTCATACTCCAAACGTGGGGAAAGCACAGTTTGTCCAGCCTCATCTCGCTCCCAACTAAGAGTTATGTCTGGGCGGAACTTGGCTGTTTTGCTTTCCCCATCCTCCCCCACCCCAGCCTCCTGAGGTCTGAAGGTGATTTTTGTCATGTCGACCTCAGGATTTTAAGCCTTCACCTTTTTTTGACAATCATTGAATGCCATCACAATTGTAGGCATGTGGAAGAGGTCCACAATCTCTGAAAACGTCGTCGAATTGACGAAGTTGGAGACATGCTACTCAACCAAGTTGTGCACCTCTAACTCGGATTTCTTTTGCACCTAGGCCAACTCGTCTTGTGCCTTGGCAAGCTCCTCCTCGGCCTTCTTCCTCTTCCCCACCTCGGCCTCAGTGGCCGCCTTGGTAGAAGCCAACTCCTCCTTAACTTTCTTGAGCTCCGAGGTTAGATCACTGAAGTTCTACTTGGCTGACTGCTTCTATTGGTTGTGCTTTTCATTCTTCTCAACCAAGTTGTTCCTTTCCTTGAGGCAGTCGTAATATTCAACTACCAAGGCATTTACGAGGTTCACTGTCTGCAAGAAGAATTGAGGTAAAAAAAGAAAATGAAAAACTAACTGTAGTTCAAGCTTTTACCTCGAGGGCATGGCGCACAACGCCAGACCCCCCATGTGCTTCCACTTCATGCTGGGCTCTTTTAAGATACACCTTGGGAAAAGTGGATCTGATGAAGCGCTTGGCAATAGTCTTGCTTGTACTTTCGTAGAAGCTCGACTTTTGCCTCGGGATAGG